TGCTATAAATTTATTAATTAGGTGATGGCATGAAATTATTTTAACTTTTCTATGTATGTGAAAATTTTCATCATAAAATGTTGAAAATCGCCACAACATACTTTTAAGTAAGCTGTTCTTTAAAATGTATACATGTTATTCTTAGCAGGATCTCTTTATCAATACCTGTTGGTCTAACTCATCCTTCTTAAGTATTGTGATTTATTTTCTTTTTATGTATTTATTTCTATTTTGTATGTTTCAGTGTTGTGCCTGTATGTAAGTGTACTACGTACATGCAATGCCTGTCAAGGGCAGAAGAGGGCATCAGATCCCCTGAAACTGAAGTTGTGGACAGCTGTTGGTCACCACCTGTGTGCTGAGAACAGAAGAGCCAGTGTTCTAAGTCTCTGAGCCATCTCTCCAGTCCCAAGTACTGTAGTTTCTTAAAATAGTTTTGGAACACCGTAATTGAAATTCCCGCTAAATTTCTGACATTATGACAGAAGAGACCATTATTAAAATAAGTAAGGTACTGAATATCCTTCCTGAAACTACAGGACATGTAATCTCTAGGCTTCTACAAAGAGTTCCAGGCTTCCCCCATACCTACTCTACCCAGTGCAGTCTGCTCCCAAGAAAAGAGATGCAGGCAGATCCTGCAGTGTGTGATGGCCGCTGTGTACTTGGGGCCATCCCTCTTCTCTTCCTTCCTTCACAGTGCTCTTCCCTTTATCCCAGCCCAAGGTAGGGGATAAATCTGTTCTCTCCAGCAGAGGCTCCATCTTCTCCTTCAACACTGCCATATATGCACTAGATTAGCCTTCCTTTTACAGATACCCAAATCTAAGACTGAGGCTCATGTGGAAAGCAGTTGAGTCCAGTGTTTAGTACAGCAGAATGAATCCGTGGCTCAGCCCACGGACTGGACTCCTGTGATAGGTCATGTCACAGCCCCACTGAAGGCTTCTCTTCACCTGTCTGACTCATTTTGCTATCAGGCCTGTCCTTCTCTGTGCATCTGAGTACCTCTCACTTGGGACCATTATGAAATGAATGGTAGTAGTGAGGGGTAGAATTCAGTCAGTTCTGGATGTCTTGATCATACACATCTGCATCATTGTGTTTGATCAATACTAACAGCATCCTGACATCACATATTTTAAATGTGCATCACTTCTCTCAATTTGTCCTACTCAGTTATGTATTAGGTACATCTCTACGAATAAATGCACATAGATTTATAAACCTCATGTTTCTAGTATTTAGATTATGAGCATTTGGGCCCAGTAATTTTTAAAGCAGAAGTATTAGGAACATCTTGGTGGCAGGGTTCTGAACTAGGATATAAGGCCTCTTAGCTAGTCATGTGGTTTGTCACTATACAACATTCACTAGGCAACCTTTTTCTGTGTGCATATGTATAATTATAGTGTGTTAAAATATGTATGCTCCATTCCACCCATGACTGATATACAGGGCGCCAAATAATATTGCTTGTGAGATTTTGTATTACTAATGAATTGAGTGACTAGTACATTACATAAGCTTATTTCAGCTTCCTGGAGTATGGCATAATGTGTGAAAAAAAGATGATGCAAGACCAATTTATGAATAGGTAAATTACTGAATCACTGTTCTTATCATTCTTACCTCATTTGAAGGAACTGCAGCAAAGGGTTTGATGACAGCAGCTAGTGGAATCTGAGCTTGCTTAGCCGTGTCTGACGAGCACGGGAAGCAGTACGTGGTGCAACGAATGTACCGAGGGCTGGCATTGCCTGAATCATTCAAACAGACACATACAAAATTTTGTTAGAAAACAAACCTATTCTAAATAGATAATATCTAAAAAGATATTTGACATGAAAAAGGCACTTCTAAACTATCTGTTCTTATCTGTAAATTTTCCTTTCTTTCTAAAAAATGTAGTATTGTAAAAATCTGCAATTTATGTTCCAGGGATATATGTAAAACCCATTGAATTCTACTGGAGAGATATAAAAGGTGTTTTATACTTAATTATTTTCCATAAGCTGGGCTTTCATATAGTCTCTATAATACAGACTTGAGAGCGTTTAGAATTAATGGAAGACAGAAAACAAAGAGGCAAAAAAGATATGAAAGAACACAATTTTAGTATCAAAATCACTTCCTTTTTTAAGATTTAAGAAAATTTTATGTATGTGTACGTGTATATCTGCATGTGGGTATGTGTGCCTGTGTGTAGGTACCTGTAGAGGCCAGAAGAGGGTGTCAGATCCCTCAGAACTGGAGTCACAGACAACTGGATGAGCTCCTGACTTGGTGATGGGAGAGCAGCACATGCTCTTACCATGGAGCTGTCTCTCCAGTCCAACATCAAGGAAGATGTTCCTTCTTTGTTCCTGCTTCTACCAATACATCCACTATGGGCACATGAGCATCTTTACACCACCTAATATTATCAAGTGAAGCTTTATAAAATAAGATCGCATTTTCTATGTTTTTCCCCCAAGCTTAGTGGGCAAAGTGAATTTAAAAATTAAAATTCAACTTGTAATAGGAATATTACTTTTAAAGCCATCCAAATCCTATTTTAATATACATTAAATTTCCTAACCAAATACTCTATTCCAAGACACACATAAGAAGTGAACGCACCTATAGCATGAAGAATATTTCAAACACTAGGTGACTTAGCTACATTTTTTTTTCTCCTCTCTTTAACAAATGGTGTTAGGAAAACTGGATGTATAGAAGAATGAAACTGGGTCATGCTCGCTGCATCCTTCACAAAAGTCAATTCCAAGTGGATCAAAGTCCTTAATGGTAGACCTGAAATGGAAACTTCTGGAAGCGAGAACATGGAGCACACTGGGATTCAGGCTCAGGTAAGGACAACAACAGGACTTCATGAAATTAAAGTCCCTGTTCTGCAAAGGGTTCATGTTAATTGAGTGAAGAGGCAGTCTATAGAATGGGAGAAAAAAATCTTTGCCAGATACATATACGACAGAGAATGTGTCTAAAATATACAAATAACTAAATGTCAACACAACAACCCATTTAAAAAGTAGGCTACAGAACTGAGAAGAAAATTCCCCGAGGAAATAGAAACAGGAAGACATGGTTTTTAAAAGTGTTTACTATTTTTAGCCAGTGGGGAAATGAAAATTAAAACTATGTTGAGATTTCATCTTACCTCAGTCAGAATGGTTAGAACCAAGAAAGGGCAGGTAGTCCCTAGGAGCCACTATGAATGAGGTTAGCTGGGTCTGCTGGCTTTTTGAGACCCAAGTCAGAAAGGCCAAACTTCCTTTTTCTTTTTTCTGCCCTTTCTGGTGCTGGCAAGAACCTAAGTATGCTTTTTCTGACACTGCGGGCTTCTTTTCTCTTCCTTGAAGTTCCCCTCGCTGCCTGTCCATCGTGTGCAGACCTTCCTAAAGCTTAAATGGCAGTGCTTTCTCTCCTTCTCTCCTCCATTCTCCTCCTCTGGACAGCTAATGAAATTTACAACTTGCCTCCCCTGACAGTTTTTCTTTTAAACTCTAAGAAAACTGTCTTCAAACTTCCAAAAGATAAAAAAATAAAACAAAAACAAATACTGGCACAGATATGTGGAAAAGGAACCCTCATGCACTGCTGGTGGAGGTGCAAACTGGTGCAGCCACTATGGAAATCAGTGTGGCACTTCTTCATAAGGTTAGAGAAAGATCTACCACATGATCCAGCCATACCACTCCTGGGCACATTCCCAAAGGGCTCTACATCTTCTACAGACACGTGCTCATCCATTGTCATGGCTGTTCTATTCGTACTAGCTAGGACATGGAAACAGCCTAGATGACCATCAGTAGATGAATGGATAATGAAAACGTGGTTACTATATACAATGGAATTTTACTCAACTGTAAAGAAAAATGAAATTATTAAATTTGCATGTAAATGGATGGAACTAGAAAACATAAAAAGTGAGGTGACTTGGACCCAGAAAGATAGGTATCTCATGTTCTCACTCATATGTGGATCTTAGCACCAAATCTTTAGATTTCTGTGTTTAATTTGGAGGAAACTAGAAAAGGAGCATTGGTAGGGAGGGGAATGGAAGACCATTAGGGAAGGGGGAGAGTAGAACACAGGTGATATGAAGAGGAAATGGAAAGCGATGGGGAGAGGGATGGAAGAGTAGGCTAGAGACCGTTTGGAAAAACTCACATGGAAGCCTAGTATTTTATAAGATTTTTTTTTTCATATAAAAGTTTGATTGGAGTTACCCAACAGAGGGGATAATGCTCCTTCCAGAAGCCATAGATTGCCAATTAAAAAGTCCCATGCCAGGTGTGGGAAATCTCCACTCATTACACTCATGGTCAGCAGTGTTCTAGAGACCCCCCAAAACACTACAATCTATTGTCACTGCTCTTGCTTGCCCACCAGAGCTTGATGGTAATAACCTATTGCTGAAGACACCATATACTTTGGTTACAGGACATGGAGAAATCAATTCAATACCCTCTCTTAATACTGGAAGGGGCTATACATGCTGAAGGGGGAAAGAAGTTATCAAGAGTCTTACCCACTTATGGACTCTGTGAATTGCAATGACCAGTGTGGTTAGACATGCCCCATGGGTCCAATAGTAGCATGAGTGTTATGGGGGTGGTCAACTGTTTTCCTATTGGATTTAAGGCTCATTCCACAAAAGCAAATACATGCCCAGTATTGCAGATCTGACCAAGAACCCATGGTAGGCAAGTTCACAAGCCCCAGGGATGAACCTACTACTATTAATTTGCTAAATGGACACAATATCAAACTTCCCTCTAACTTCCTATCTCTCTACCCACAGATTAGTGTAGCTCTCACACCTCATCAGGGAAGTTCCTTTGTGAAATGGACAGTGGTTAAGGGAAAAACTCACAGCTGGCCAAAGTGCAGAGACTATATAGAGCACAGTTACAGATAGGACATTTTATTTCATACTCCTTCCCCAAGACTCAGGGACCATAGAAGAAGAAGTGGAGATATTGGAAGAGCCAGAATAAAACAGCATCTTCTAGACATGACCTAAATATATGAACTCACAGCAGCTGTGGTCCCTGCACAAGATCAAGCCACTCAACATTCTAGCATGGAGGGGAGGATTCACTATCTTGCACCCTAACTGAGGAGACATTGACAGTTGATGGTTTCTGGAGGAGGGGAGAGTCAGTTTACTTTGAGGGTGGGGCCTTGGTAGGTTGACTACACACTAGGTGGATGGCCCCACACTCATGAGTATGTGGACAGCAGTAACTGGGAATAATAAAAAACTAGAGAGGCCAAGAAGTTGGGAGGGAGTGGGGAAGTCAGGGAGTAGATTTTGGAGGAGTTGGGGATGAATGGGGTGAATATGATAAAAATTCATTGTATACCTATATGACAGTCTCAAAGAATTAAGAAAAATATAATATTAAAGATGAAATAGTTTTTTTTTCTCCACTGCCTTGGGCCTCCATGCTAGGCAAGCACTTTTCTATATATATCCCTAGCCTTTTTACTTTTTATTTTGAGACAGTGTACCACTAAGTTGCCCAGGCCAGCCTTGAATTTACTCTGTATCCCAGGTAAGCCATGAACTTGCAATCCTCTGCCTCATCATCCCAGGTAACTGGAATTACAGACCTGCACCACCAGCCAACCTAATTGTCTAAAATTTCGAGACAGTGTGCGTGTGTGTGTGTGTATGTGTGTGTGTGTGTACATATATATATAAATAAAATCACCAGTGTTTAGTGACTGTTCTACATTTTGTGCATTGTCCTTGGTTATTCTGTATAAATTACGTTATGCTTTTGAAGAGGTCATGGAGAATGAAAATGAAACATAAAAAATGACTACACTATATAGTACATTTTTAAAACCTCTGGGTAAGCAGTACCAAAGGTAGATTGTGCTTTTTAAAAGGTAACATTTAGGGCTGGAGAGATGGCTCAGTGGTTAAGAGAGCTGACTGTTCTTACAGGGAACTCTGGTTCAATTCCCAGTACCCACATGACAGCTAACATCTGTCCATAACTCTAGTTCCAGGGGATCCTACGCCCTCTTCTGACTTCCATGGGCATTGCATGACATGGGTACACTTACACACATGTAGGCAACACACTCATACACATAAAATAAAAATAATAAATAAGACCACTGGAAGCTTGCACATGTGAACTTGTGGCAATGGTGGTATGGTGCACAGGACCCAAGTCAACTCAGTTGAGTGGGGACCTAGTGGGAAGGAGAGAAATGGGTGGTGGGCCAGTACTAGACTGAGAACTATTGGAAACTGATTGCCACTGGGTGAGGGAGAGAATGACTTACATACGACCACTGGACTCCAGTGGACCATTTGCACTGAAGGACACTTGGATACAAACGCCTGAATGAACAGGACTTAGCATGTATGGAGGAATACATGAGGTTTGGTGGGGGAATGGGGGAAGCATGGATGGGGGAGGGGGCATGAATTTAATTAAGAACTGTTGTATGAAGTTGCAAAAATTCAATAAAAATGAACTAAAAAAACTGGATAGGCTAAACTGAGAAGGATCTAAGAATGTCTATTTTATACTTAATTTGGACTAGGAAGGACAACTTATAGTTGGAGCACCAAGAAGCATAATTCTTGGAGATCGCTGATTCTTCTCTTCTCTCACAAGTGCTGAGAAGAAAATGCATATCTTTGTTTTGGGGGGGGGGGCTGACCACTTGACCACTTGTCCCAGTACACCTACATTAAGGGGGTTGCAGAACATGGGACTTTGAACACAATGATGAGGAACTCTAGACAACCTATGACAAATCTGTCATTCTAATCTACTCCCATGATTCATTTCTCCGTACAAGAGGAAGAATGGCTGGTGTGATTGGTTTGTATTTCCAGTGGGCACCCTACACACAATTAGCTTTACTTAACTATTCTGATTCACCTGTGTTTACTGTGTGGGGCTCATCTCACTCATCCATGAGGAAAACAGGAAACAAGATTCTGATCTCTCCAGTTCAGCCTGGGCCTAGGTGAATAAGCTCAAAGAGTGAGATTTGGCTAAGTTCTCTTAGATGACTTTGTCAACAATGGAACAGGTAACTTGCACTGTTTTGTTGTGTATGGTTCTTAAATTAATTGAAAAGAAACAACTAGGATTCCCCACACAAACAGTTATGACTGAAACTAAGTTTTTCCAGTTTATGTAGCAAGTGTTTATAAAAGTGTCAACTAGGAGCCTCATAGACCATGAAAAAAACGGAGAAAAAAATGTAATAAAAAAGGTAACATTTCAGCAAAGACTCAAAGGAGACAAGGAATTCACACAGGTAGACTCGGCAGAAAGGCCTCACAGGGCCCTACCTGGCTGGGCAGGAGTCTCCATGGGGCCCAGAACTGGGATTGAGTTCAGGGGAGACCAGGTCTATGCTTAAGACTCTTTGAGCTCCCCTCCCCCAGGTTTCACTCCAAATGAAATGGAACATGACTGCTGGATCTGCACAGAGAAGTGACATCATCTGACTTAGGGCCCCTCTGACTATGGCATGGAGAACGGCTGCAGTGTAGGGAGAGCTAGGGAGGCCCAGGAGGAGGATTGGCAGGGGCCATAGGAGAAATATTGGTGGCTCAGACCAGCCCCATAACAGTAGAGCATGGAGAAACAGATTCTGGGCATATGTTGAGGGAATATGTGTTGGCAGGCATGATGTATGTGGTATGTAGGTGAGTCTCAGCTTTGAAGACTGAGGAACTCAAAGAATGTGAAATTGAAATTGCCACCACTGACAACTGAGAGGCTGTGGGATGGGGAGGTACGGCTCTGAAGGCAGCTATAGGCAGAGATCAGAATCGGGGTTGGAACTTGTCTCTTTTGGAAGGCATATCAGGCAGTCACACAGCAAGTCTGAGTAGTCGATCGGCTAGGAGTCAGACTGGGCTGAAGTCTAGGCCAGAGATGCCCCTTCGTGGAAGTAGTTAAATCAGCACAGCAAGAAGGTGGTCAAGGAAGACAAAAAGGACTACCAGGCCAGGGCCCTCCAACACAAAGAAGTCAGATGAAGCGGGGAAAGCAGCTACCAGACTGAGGAGCGGGTTGCAGTGGCTCTGAGGGGAAAGGTGCCTGCCTCCAGGCTCAATGACCTGAGTTCGAACCCCAGGGCTCACATGTAGAAGGAATCAAGTTCCATAAGTTGTCTTCTGACCTCCACTTGTATATTATGACATGCGCTCAAACAAATAAATAAATTTAAAGAAAGACTGAGGAGGGAGAAAACAGGGAGAAGTTGGTGAGCTAGATGTGAACTAAAGAAAGTCAGTTGGGGCTGTAGGGTTGGCTCAGCAGTGAAGAGCTCCAGCTGCTCTTGCAGATGACCCGGTTCAGTTCCCACCACCCACATGTGCTAACAACCATCCATAACTCCAGTTCCAGGGGATCTGATGCCCTCTTCTGATCTCCATGAGCATTTCACACACATGTAATATACATGTAGGCAAAACACATCCATAAAATAAAAATAAATAAATAAATAAATAAATAAATAAATAAAAGAAGAAGAAGAAAAATGAAAGTCCATTAAGAAAGAGGCATCTGGTGCCAGTAGACCAATGTGACCACCAGGCTTAGCAATTCAGCTGGGGTTGAAAGAGTCTCCAACAGCTTAGTACTTAACCAAAATATTAAAGAAAACAAACGAATGCTAAAAACGCTTATGCAGAACTAAGAGATTGAAATGAAATTGTAGCTTCTGCAAATCAACAATAGTAGAAAAGTTATCAAATTCCATATAGCTCAATCTAGTAACACCTCTTTATTAAAGTGTCCAAATATGAACTCACTACAGAGTTCTGATGATTGTGTAATAAGAAACAAAACAATCACTTTTAGAACAATAAATCCAATGACCTAACTTATTTAATATCTATAAATATATATTTATATTTATAGAAATTTAATATCTTTATAAATATCTATAATAGCATCTATAGTTGATATCAATCTGTTCTGCATGCTAAGCCCCACACACGTACACACACACAGTTACACACTGCTCTGTAGAGCAGGTCTCAGTGGTCATATCATATTGAGAGTAACACTGGGGTTCAAGGAGGTGTGATGAGTGAAGTCCACGTAGGTAGTTGGTGGAAGCCTATATTCCCCATAACAGGCTCCCTGCCTCACTTTGCAGACCCAGTAAGGACTGTTCTGAAGGTAGCACAGAGGATGGATGGAGGAGAAGACTAGGACCTGGGTGGCTCAACAGCTCTGAAGTAAGACAGAATGATGGAATGTTGATCTTATGTTGATGCCACACTTCCAGGATGGAAGACATAACCCATCAAAACAGTATACCCTGACTTCATTAGGCTGAGAGTGTGTGTGTGTGTGTGTGTGTGTGTGTGTGTGTGTGCATGCTGAGGATCAAACCCAAAACCTCATGCTGCCAGGTTCAGCTCTACTACTGATCTGCAGCTTTAGACCATCAGGATACATTTTTAACTTCCCAGAAACAAGAGGAAGAGAATCTGTCCGAGGCCTGACAGGCAGATTAACACAGCAGCAGGCATGCACAGGATTGAGGACTGACAGGTAGAATAATACCACAGCAGGCATGGAAAAAGCTGAGAAAGATGGAGCTCAGCCCCGCCCCCTCATCTGGCTTAAAGATGGGAAGCCAGAACGTGAGAAGACCCCCTGGAAACAGTATCCTTGGGCTGCAGCAAGTGAGTAGCCTGACAAGGGCTCAGCACCTCAGCCCTGCTCATTCTTTCCTGCATGATGCACAAATTCAACCAAAGTAGGTGATGGATTAGTTTAAAATGTAAATCAAATTAAAAATTTTTCTCAAACAGATATATAGTATTACACAGCACTACAAGTCCTCTGAACTGCCATAGGCAAAGGATATAACTCTGCTGACAGCACTTCTTGGGTTCCTGGGTGACTACTGGAGAATTGGTCTATTCTCAGCTATAATGGAGTTTCTAGCAACAGCACTGATGAATGGAGTCAGGGTATTTGTTTTAAAAATAGTGATAAGTTTTAAAACCTTAATAAAAAGCATCACTGAAAACAAATACCTTGGTCTTGAATCACACAGTCTGTGGTGACTAGCGGAGGGACCTGGCCTCTGGTGTTCGTAGTGTAAACTTGTCCCCCTCTGGTGGCTCTGTCATTCTCGATCACTTGAATCTGATAAATAAGACAGTAAGAGAAAATGTAACTAAGTTATGACTCTTCCCAATACACATGTAGGCACGGTAGCTTGCTCCCCCGCCCCAGTTTTTTCTCTTCCTCCAGAGACTGAGGAGAAAAGAGGGGAGGGAGGAGAGACAGAGAGAAGTACTTTAAAATCCTTTCACTTCCTCTCAGATCGAATTCTCAGAGAATCTACCATGCTTTAGTTACACCTGTTTACTTTCACACATTTCCAACTTCTAGTCTGTAACACTCTCAGCTCTGATCCTGATCTTTTAGAGAACCTTATTTTTATACAATTTATATATTATAAGCACAGATGAGAGTTTGAGAAATACTCTAGGAGGAAAAGTAATTAAAACTTCTTTAAAGAAAAGACTTTCTGCAATCAAAAGAAAACTGTGAAAGATTAAAAGCCATTGAATAGAGAAGAAATGATATACGCACATGACCTCAAGCTGCCCAGCCTCCTCAGACTCCATGCTCATCTTCAATTTGCCTTTCCAGTTTCCCCCAGGAGAATAAAGGAGCTCAGCATGGGAAGAGCTTTGTCCGATGTTTAGAAAGGTCCCCAAGTTTTGTCCTCTAACTTGGAAACTTTCTCTACTAATAACATGTGGTGATGAAGACTGCAATAGATTTTTTTAAAACCTGTCTTTCTGTTGTAACTGTCTAGGGTTAAAACCTATGAGCAGAATTGAGCAGTATGGTGCTAAGAAGGGAGCAAGAAGGGATCCTAGGAATTATCATCCTCTGTATCCTCCTCATCCTCTCCTAGTCCTCATGTTCTACAGGAAAGATGTTAAGGAGGGAAAATAAACAAAAATAAAAACAAAGAAGAGGGTAATGGGGTGACAGAAAATATCTAGACCAGAAAAAATGTGAAGGAGACACAATTTTCCATTAATAATCTGAAAGCTGACTCTCACCTAACTCCGAAATATTCCCCATTTCTCCTTCCAGTTCCATTCAGTGCAGAAGGTGCTAGTGTCACTGGTTCCCAGAATGTCAGCAACAGATGGAGCCTGATTTTAAACATCTGTTTACCTTTCAAATTCCACTGAGTTTGAATACTTCCAAATATAAAGTGCATTCCAAACACAACAATAGCAAGACATACGAGACGGTATGCTACCATGGACAGAGGCAAGAAATCAGGAACGCAGAACGTTGTATTATTATATTCTATATTTAACCACAATGTAATCTCAAAACAAGAATTTCTTTCATATTATTAAATGTTAACATTTATTTTAATCATCCTCATGATTAAATCTACGGCAAAGTCGCAGTGAGACAGTCATGTAACTGGTAGACCAAACCCACACAAGGAGTGGTCTTATCTTTAAATTATCCATTTTCAAGTTACAAAGCCTTGTCCCAAAAGAATAAGTGTTATAAGTGGTCGTTACTAATTTAATCCACATCTAGTGAGGAATACTAAACAGAAGAGAACAAGAACTATTACAGCAGTACTAGTCATTGTTAAAAGTTGTTTTTCTTTATCTCAAATGCATGTTTTTGAAAAACAGTCTTAGAAATGAAACACTATGCAGAAAGTCCAGCAGTGATCCAGGTGTGACTGGTGCCCGCAGGCTGAGATCAGGTGCAGTGACATGTGATGCCAAAGCTTCCTCAGGAGATACACATTGCTTCTTCCTGCAGATGTGCCACTAGATTCTTTCCACACTTGTTTGCATGAATATAGTGAACTCATAAAGTAGAATCAGGAAAGAGTAAAGGGAGGTGCTACTCTTCAGACAAAGGCACGGGAAAGAGACATGTGAACCATATACTCTGGGAGGCTCAAAGCAGAATTAACTGCATTTTGAGCGATGAAAGAGAAAGAAGGGTTCTCCTTCTGGAAAACCCTCCTGTGGATGCAAAATGGAGTGAGAGGCAGCTTGAGGGTGATCTTTCCTCACTTTCGTAGTGTGGCTGGAAGCACCACTCGGGGTTGTGGTAGCTGCCGAGCACCTAGCTCAGGACCCGAGTATGGAATCTTTCTTTCAAAAAGGAAGAATTTATTTCATTAGGAAAAGCATGTTGCTTTGGTAATAGAAACAAGCAGGTTCCATCTGGCATTGCTGTTTCATTACTCCAAGAGAAACACATATGGGGCCGATTTGCACATATGTAATTTGAAGGGTCTGTGATTAATCACAGTATCTACTGCCTCTTGCTCTTTTTACTAGTCATTCATTCCTTCATTCAGCAAATGTGTGAAAGCATACTGTACACCAGGCTCTGTTTAGGTGCATGAGAAACCTGTGGACAAACTAGATCCTTAGCCTCGTGGAACAGACATTTGAGAAGACTGGCAGTAAATAACTGTACAAATAACATGCTCTCTGTCAGGCAGTGAGGGGCATATGGAGAGACAGGGATAGGGCTCCAGATATACTAGGATGAACAATGAAGACATGAAGGAATTGAGCACATGAACCAGGCCCTACATACACCTAGGAGAAGAGCATACAGGGAGTGAGACATCAGGAGGAAAGGCTCAAGTTCGGGAGCACACGGGCATGTTTGAAGAGCTGGCATAGCTGAAGCAGAGGTGCAGAATGAGACGGGACGGAGTCGGGGGTGTGCAGTGTTTGTGGGCACATGTGTGGGATGGAGGGAGCTAGAGCCAGGGATGGCCGAAAGGAAGTACCATGTAAATTACTGCAAAAGCTTTGATGTTATGCAAAAAGGAGTGATGGCAGGCTTGGTTCTGAACTGGACCAAAATTAATCATAGGAATAAAAATTAGATGTAAGAGAAAGTCAGTGATGAATCCAAGGTTTGACATGTGAGGAGGTGGCAGATGGGACTGGACCTGGATTTCAGGGTAAAGGTCTTAAGAAATATCCACATTTTCCACTGAAAGCCATATGAATGGGATCACTCAGCATGGTGACCCCACTTTGTGTGCCTAAGACTCAGACTCCAGGGCCCTGCCTAGAACGCGGATTCAGCTAGTCTGACCTAAGACCCAAGAACATGAATCCGTAAGAAGCTCTCGGCTGATGTCAACAGCATGCTTCTGCTAGCATACTTTGAATTACGTTGGCCTAGAGAGGAAATGCCCACAGAGAAAAGGACAGTTCCAAAGACTAAGCCTTGGGGCACTCTAATACTAGGTCAGACAGCGATGGGACTCTCTACCTGAAACACATAAGCACATACAGATGTACACACAAATGCACATACACACAACTACAAACAGGCACACACAAATACACAAACACACACAGACACATCCATGGACACACAAATACATGCATACACACAGAGGTACAGACACAAACACACAGACATGCACACACAAAACCACATACACAACTCACACAAACATGCACACAAAGGCACTAACAAACACTAACATGCACACACACAAACACACATAAACATAAAACTTGGACACATACATAGACACAAATATACAAAAACACAAACATGAAAGTGCAGATATAAACACACATGCACAAACATCCCTGAATACAACACACACAAGAGCACACGCAAACACAAACACACACACACAGACACACACACGCACAAACACAGGCACACCTGCACACAATACACAAACACAAAGACACAAACACACATGCAATTACACAAATACATAAAGACACAAAAGCACATATACACAAAACACACACAAAACACCAACACACACACTAACACAAAAGATGAAGAGATGACAGCATTTAAGTCAAAGAAAAAGTGGGAGGTGGAAACTCCTAGTGGAGAGAATTGCTGTGGTTTGGGTCTTGAAGGGAATACACTGCAGGTAGGAGACATTAGCTGGAAACAGCACTTTCAACTGTAATTCTGAAGATGTACAGTAATTAGTGATGGCAGGGTTTGTGGTAAGATCTGGGCAATTAAGGTGGGAGTTGGAAAAAAGACCAAGAAAGTGACGGGTCAGGGAATTGGAAAGTTCATTCACAAGGATATTAAAGCTGCTTGTGGTCTTAACAGAAACAGCACTGGTGAAGATGAAAGGGAGTCAGGCACCGAAGACTGCTAAGAATGGAATGTAGTGACCTTGAGTATCTATGGATAGTTTCTGTATCACACAGAAATTCAAAATAAGCTCAACATGAACATGATTATTAGTTGAAATAAAGCATTTTAAGTTAAAGACATTTTTTTTCCACTGACATAAACAACTTAAGAAAGATTTACTCTGACTCACAGTTGCAAGTTCTCAGTTCTGACTACTTGGTCCCACAGAGGACAGAGCCTCATGGTAGGAGGGGCATATAGCAGAGAGCTGTCACCTTGTGGCAGCCAGTATGCACAGAGCAAGACAGAAGGGACCAGGAGCAAGACACCCCCAAAGACCTACTCCCTCCAGCTGCGTTACATCTCCTAAAGTTTTCAGAATCTCCCATAATAACCACTAATTGAGAATCATGCATTTTTATTGGGGAGGGGGGATAGTTCATATTCAAGCCATAAGAAATATTAAGTCATAAACATAATGGTAAGAGTACTAAGAGCTATCAAAATTGAATCCTTGTTTTATTATAAGCAGGTTACAAGCATTGGATATTTTATCATAAATCTTCAAGTTTATACTTCTAGATTAAAGTGATATATTACAAAATAGACAAAATTCTTCACCCCTGCCTACGACTGTCCCTGTTTCAATGTGACTTACTGCTTCCCTGATTGGAGGGCAGAGTCCTCTCTGGAAACCCTCAGTAGTTTCTGCCCAGAGATACAGGGTGAATGGAGCTGCCTACCATGGTGAGGGTCTTGGAACGTGTACAAGTAAGGGAAGGCTAAGTGCTAGCAGACAGAAGTGCTTCCCTGTGGAGAGGAGCACTTACAGGGCTGGGGATAGAGTCAGGATCCAGCTTCTTCTGGTGCTGTGGTGGTGGTCCAGCCATCTGTGCAGGACCCCCAGGGAAGCCTCCTGGATAGGACAGCTGTGCACCCGCCATCTGGGGTCCATAGTTGGCTGCTTGAAAAAAAAAAAATGAAATGGAACTCTCTAATCACAGGTTTAAGACTCACTGACAATATTATACTACTTCATGAAAAATGTCACATATAGGGGCTAGAGAGATGCTTCAGCAGTTAAGAGCCTTGGCTGCTCTTGCAGAGGACCAGAGAGGGGTTCCCAGCACCCACATGGTGGCTAACAACTGTAACTCCAGGTCCAGGGGATCCTCTTCTGACCTCTGTGAGTATTGCACTCATGGGTACATTTATATTCATACAGAAAAACACTCATGTACATAAAATAAATTAAAAATTAATTTAATGTCACATTTTCAACTTCTTAAGAAAAATAGGGAGTTAAGAGTGAATACCTACACCTCTTTTCTTTGCGCTTCTGACACTATTCAGAAACTAACAATCCTTCATAGAAACAGAAACAATACTGATTTCCAACTTAGGACTCCCCCAGATAACCCATACCTTGCCCTCACCACGCCCACCTTACCCTGCTGTGGAGAGTAGCCCGTACCCAGGGTCTGGCCTGGAGGAGGTGGGGGCTTGTACTGGGCATTCAGAGGTGTTGGCCCAGGAAGTCCATCCTGGCCGTGTATTGGTGAAGACATAGGATTGGCACCAGGGCCATTCAGGGTGGTTGGGGGCGGCGGCAGAGTTTGAGATCCCGGCTGCAAAATGGATGGCTGAGGAGCTCGTGGAGGTCCCTGGAAGGAGGCTGCTGATGGAGGTCCTGAGGGACCCTGGCTTGAGGGGGTCATGGCCACACCTGTGGAAGGAAGAAGATGGCTTCAGAACCACATTTCTCAGCTATGACACCTACAAAGCACAGGACAGAGGCCACTGTTTTCCAGACACAAAGCCAAGAGGGCAAGCTTACAAATCATGTATTTATGCATATATATATATACATATACATATTATATATATATATATATATACACACACACACACATATATAAAATAGAGCCAAAATTGAAATTTCCCCTCAGAAAGTGATAAAAGTTATTATTTGGGAGCCTTTTTTTTTTTTTAATAACTGAACATTTTAGAAAGCAAAATCTTTAGTTTTAGTGAGAGACTATTAAAAAGGATTTATTTTATAATTTAGGCATATGTATGCATGTATATCTTTGCGTATGTGAACATATGTGAGTGCTCCCATAGGCCAGGAGATGGCATCTGATCCTCTGTAGCTGCAATTACAGGCAGTTGTTAGTGGTCTGATGCGGGTGCTGGGAACCGAATGCAGGTCTTTTGCAAGAGCAGCAAGTGCTCTTAAGGGCTGAGGCATCACTCCACCTCCCCAATGACAGACTTCTTAAAAGCATAAATCTTTAACTCCACCGTATTAACTTTACATGATCCATGCACTAATTTAAGACATCTGTACCCAGTATAAAATCTAGAAGTTAATATAATAGAAAAGTTTATTTTTCAACAAGCATTATTCAGATAACTCACACCTTCAATAAACAATTTGCACTTGGAGGCTTGACTTGCCCAAATCAATCTCAGAAGCAGCTGGAAATAGAGAGAAGGCCCGGGCCACTGACAGGCTCCCCAGGCAGAGTAGAAAACACTGGAACCCAGATTGCTTCCTGCTCTAGGCTTGTGTGAAACTGAGGTGCTTTTTGGAGTTATTGTTTAGAAATTGGTAACAGATAGGAAGCATTCTGGGAGATTTCTACCAGTATTTCTAACAAACCAAGTTTAAATAGTATGGAAGCGCTCCTCGTGGAGACACGAGTGGATGCTGTTATGCAGTGGAGAGCCTTCAGCTCCCTGGAACGCACACCCTGCTGATGGGAACATCAGTGTAGTTACTCTGCTCTCTCCTCTCATCTTTCTAACTTGATATCTGAGATTTGATTCTTCCTATGATCTAAACACAGAAAATTCACTGTGAAACCATAAGCATTTTATTTTCAATTTGGGGGACTCATATCAAACAACACAATTTGAAAACTACTATCATACTTCTTAAAATTACTTTCACTGTTTAACAATTATTTGTGAAGTTAGCACTTTGGATTTTCATGGCTCGAGCAAGGAATATAAAGTGTTCCGAGGGTTCTTCAATGATCTGGAAGGAAGTGGCAATGTGCTCGGGATAAACCTCAATCCAGCCATGTACAATATCAACACCTTATATAGAGACACCCAAGGTAGCAGTATTTTAATATGGCATGCCAGAGGTAGGTATGTCTTAAGAATGAAGAAAATCTTTCTCAAAAGTGATCATGAGGTTTCAGTGGTAGCCTAGCATGTTTGAGGCTTTGGGGTCATCCCCAGCATCATACACACAAAAACTGTGACTAAGACACTAAATGCACACAAATAATGCACGTTACCATAGCTGTTGATCTGCATGGAGCTAAACTGACTGCCCAGCTGGGTGGCAGACCAAGTGGACCCAGGACTTGGGTGCGATGACTGTGGCGGGGGCTGGCCTGGCGTATAAGAGGGTGCCATATTACTGACAGGGGGCGGTCCTGGAAATCTAAGAGACAAAAAAAGAGTGTTACTATCACAGAATTTCTCAAGTAAATGACACACAATGTCCATATCTCATAAAACAAAGAGACCTTTTCTAGGGGATCTAGGAGAAGTGACTGATGTTGAGTACCACATATTTAATCTTGATATGAGCTTCAAATGACCCATGTAACAACATCCCATATTGACACTCACATGTTTTGTAGGTAGAAAAAGTTTAACGTGAACACAGAGCCAGCTTTGGAAATTAATTTGGAAAGCTGAGGCCACAAGAACGTCACAGTACTAAACTCAATGCTCAACAGAAAAAAACCTTAAGAGAACAACTGCTTTGTGGCTGCGTTTGTGATCACTCTACTTGTGCCTGACCCGGTCTTTAGACAAAGTGTGGCCTGTCTACCATCCGAAGTGTGCAGGGAATTCTCTACAAAATAGTGTTTAATAGTCAACAGTCCAGTAAGCTTGGAGTTGTTCAGCTTTTTTAATCTAAAATTTTCATCATGCTTTACCTTTGATGTAGTCTGAAGTTCCACATGCACCATGTCTATTTGTCCCTGTTTTAAACAATGGCCGCCACCTGAGCAGTGGTTCCATTCTGGCCTCCTGCCCCAGGATGCTAAAGCATGCCATGACTCATCCTTAAGCTTTCTGCACTAATTTTAAATTTTGAATAAAAAAATTGAGGTTTCCCAGGTGACAGGTCCTGATTTCCCTTTCTCCGATTCTCACACAAGACCCTGTTTCCCTTATTACCCAAGTCATGACTCCACCCTGTACTAGCCCTGGAGAGGTCAGGTGCCCTAGAGAGGAGTGGCTGGCATGAAGTTCCACACTCTCTTCTGATCCTGGGATGAGCCTCTGCCCAGGTCTCACTGAAGCAGCATGCCAACTTTTATCTTATTTTTCTCCATATTTTCCAAATTGAATAGTTATTTCAAACCAAAAAATAATAATCATCAACCATTGCTTTGACTGCACAGTAATCATATTTACAAAATGCTATCCCACACTTTGTATTAAAAGAAAAAAGTCAAAGTGTTTTTCTCATGTAACATACAAATACAAGCATTTCTATGGCAGATAATTTACACAACAGGAGCACTGATAATGTCTTAATCCCAAAATATTACTAAGAAAAACTATCAAATTCCTCTCCTGCCAGAAATTTTAGAAGAACCAACATAATTAGATTAAGTATACTTTGATTTAAATATTTTTGGAAAAAAGGCATGAATAAAAACAGAAGGCATAAAAATTAACTTTAAAAATATACAGTATTTATTTGTGTGTGCATATGTGTCTGTGGGGGGGCACATGCCACAGCGCACATGTGGAGGTCAAAGGACAACTTTCTACCATGTTGGTCCCTGATCAAACTCAGGTCATCAGACTTAGGTGCAAGTGCCTCTACCCACAGTCCAAAAATTAGCTTTTCATAATGTTTTCCTTCTATTTCTAATCACTCCATGGCACTATAGTGAAGTATGACTCCTGCCTTGCTTGACAATCATGTTGCTATCACTGATAAGTGATTTCAAGCATTAAGGATCTGACTTGTAAATTCATTGCTGCATAAAAAGAAAATGTTTCTTTTTGTCAATAATTTCTTTTGAAGCTCACTCTTGGGGAATGGACACATGATGTGATTGGACACATGTATCCACAGCCGGATTACATGTAGAGACTGTAAGGTACAGTCACAGAGTTTAGATACAATATACAAAACCTGGAAAGCTGTAGTTAAATGGGGGAAAAAGTGCTACTTAATACTTGTAGGAAAAATCCCCCAAAGCATTTGCAAAGGTGTTTTACAAAAGGCAGTATTTAGAAAATAAAACTTTGTGGCTTGGTTTTTTGTCACCATTACAGGTAGAAAAAAATAACTTCAAACAGAAGTTATGATACGAGTAGGCTCTCTCTCTCTCTCTCTCTCTCTCTCTCTCTCTTGCTCTCTCTCTCTCTTTCTCTCTCTCTGTCTCTACTTTCTTTTCACTTTCATTGAAAGGTTAAAGATTGGGCGCTGGAGAGATGGCTCAGCAGTTAAGAGCTACCTTTGCGGAAGACCCAATTTCAGTTTCCAGAACCCACATCAGGCAGTTCACAACCTGTAACTCCAATTCCAAGGGATCTGGTGCCCTCTTCTCGCCTCTGTGGGAACCCACATCCATGTGGGTAGACACACATAAATAATTTTTTAAAATTTAAAAATTAAAAAAATTTATTCCTTATGCACTGGGAGTTAAGCTTCAGAAATTCATAAATGATCTCTTTCTGATCATCTTAAATATTGTGTCTTAAACAGATTTGATTTTTAAATATATTATCAACTTTAAAACAAAAAGAATATAGGCCAGGAGTGGTGATGCACGCCTTTAATCCCAGCACTAAGGAGGAAGAGGCAGGCAGATCTCTGTGAGTTCAAGGCCAGCTGGAGCTATAGGGAGACCCAATCTCAAAAGGACCATTAAGTAAAATAAAAATAATAAACTAGATATCAATGCTATTATATAAAAAAACCAAAGAGATCAACAGAACATTTGACACATCCGTTTCAGTACTTTTCAACTGCACAGCCTATGGATACTGTAGGCACTGGTAGGTAAGAACCGAACTTCTCCAGCCCACAGCTGGAGGCCTAAAGTGTGATCAAATTGTGAAAGCAAGCAGGTGGAACACATAAATCTTTTTCTGCTATAAATATTTTACGGTTAAAATTAAGAACCAAATAGAATTATGTTGGGGTGTGATATTCAAATATAGAATTTATTATTTCATTCAATGTGAGAGAAGGGGAGATTCACCATCGAAACAATAAAATTTATCAGATGATTACCAAAATATAAAAATTTGTCTCAATTTAATCTTTTTTTTTTTTTTTTTTTTGGTCTTTTTGAGACAGGCTCTCCCTGAAGCCCCAGCTGTCCTGGAAGTCCTGTGTAGACCAAGCTGGCCTTGAACTCACAAAGATCTACCTGCCTCTGTCTCTCAAGTGCTGGGACTAAAGGCGTGCGCCACCACAGCTGACCTTCAATTTAATCTTCAATCTCTATACAGCTGAGTTATTCTGTGTCCCGTTTGACTTCAAACATTTCCTATTTTAAAGTTTGGAATAAACTGGTTGAGAAATGAGCTGTGTTCAAGTTTATCAGTACTGGGAGATAAGGTGCAGGAGTGGTTTGAACTCATCCCAACCATAATTCTACTATGGCAATGTAACAGTTTCAGGAGGCCACAGAGAGGCCTGCCTGGTAAATGGGATGTGGTCTCCTTTCCAAACGGGGTCAGGAGGGAACTGGGTCCTTTCACCAGTGTTGAAGGCACCACCTTAGAAACAGAAGTCAGCTCTCACTAGACAGCAGCCTGCTGGAGCTTTCACCTTGGACTCTCCACTCTCCAGACTGGTGAGAAATTAATTTCTACTTTCAATAAATCACCCAGTCTCAGGTTTCTGTTGCAGCGGCAGGAGATGGACTAAGGCAGCGAATGATTCAAGATCTAATTGAAACAAAATGTGGACTTTATATACTCAGCCTAGAGAGGAGAGACAGTAAAAGCACTGCTTAATTCTATTCTTTCTTCCCACATTGAAAAACACGAAAGGGCCAGAGAACTAGCTCAGTGGTGGAGCACTTGCCTAGCATGTGCAAGGGCCTGGATTTGAGTCTCAGCACCACAAATAAGCCACAAAACCTGCCTCTTGTTTCCATTGTGACCTCTGTTTACAATGAAACCAGTTTCCCGTTAGATTCCTGCATAGTCAATGTGGGAAGCCAAGTCTCCTTTCTCCTCTAATTCATCATTTCCTCATCGAAACAGATCAATTACAATTGGTTACTTGACATTTTTTCTTACAATTAAAAAACTCTGTTTTATAGTACAGATTCCAATAAATTAATCCTACCTACCTAGTTTTCTTGTAGAAAAGTCTAGTACTACTTAATAAGTTTAAGACATTCATTCTGCCTCAGCCAAGGTCAAAAGAACAAATAAGTAGGTATGATTTTTAAATTTCATCAGATATTACTTTTAGCATTGTTTAAATTTTGTGATGGAATCTCTAAGCAAGAATGACAGAGGAAATGTTCAAATCCACAAAGAAAGGCTGCACGTAGCCAGGTGTGGCAGCACATGCCTGAAATGATGCAACAAGATCATCAGCCCCCTTGGATTGTGTGGCCATTTTCTTGAAACCCCAGACTAATTTCTTACAATTCTGACTTAGGTAAAGTGAAATCTCAAAGTATAATTTTAGTTTGTATTTCTCTGATGGCTACTGCCAGTTGTGAGCTTCTTTTGAGTTTTTGTTGGGGGGGTATCACATAAACCCCTCAAAACAATACAGGCTACTAACATTTGTCATGGCTGGCTTTGATGGCTATCTTGACACACCTGGAAAGGGGCCTCAACTGGGGAATCAATCTCAATGGGATTGGTGTGGGGGGCATGACTGTGAGGTATTTAAATTTTTTATTATTTTTCACTTTGTGTGTATGAGTGTTTTGCCTGCATGTATGTAACTGCACCATGTGCATACAATGCCCACAAAGGCCATAAGGAAGCACTGGATCCCCTGGAACTAGAGTTATGGATGGTTGTTAGCCACTGTGTGGGTACTAGGAACTGAACTGAACTGGGGTCCTCTGCAAGGCCAGTCAGTGTTCTTAACTGTTGAGCCATCTCTCCAGCCCCATGTGAGGCATTTTCTTGATTTTTGAGTGATGTGGGAGGGCCCAGCCTACTGTGGGTGGTGTCATCCTTGGGCAGGTGGTCCTGGGTTGTAAAAAGAAAGCAGGCTGAGTACAGGCCAGAGGAACAAGCCAGTAAGCAGTATTCCTCCATGGTCTATACTTCAGCTCCTGCCTCTAGGTTCCTGTCTGACTTCACTCAAAGATGAACTGTCATTCAGAAGTATAAGATTTAATAAACCCTCTCCTCAATTTGGTTTTGGTCAGAGTGTTTTATCACAGCAATAGAAAGCAAACTAGAACACCTTGTTTTTGGTTA